ACCAATCACAAAGCATGAACCCTGGACCAATCACAAAGCATGGACACTGGACCAATCAGAAAGCATGAACCCTGGACCAATCAGAAAGCATGAACACTGGACCAATTAGAAAGCAGGAACCCTGGACCAATCACAAAGCAGGAACTGATTGTTCCCCATCTGAGACAGAGACTACCAAGGGCTCACTGGCTTTCTCAAACAACCCAGGTCTGTCTTGGAACCGAAAGTAACTAGAATAGTGTGAAAAAATAAAAGACCACTCCCCCCCAGCCCACCAGATGGGAATAGTGAATACTTGGCACTCACGTCTTTGTTCTGGGCCATGAACTTCAGCAGCCTGCACTTCATTTTGTAGGTCGCCAACATTTCCTTAGCGTCTCGGGTAGAGGGGTGGATATCAGGGAACATCTGGGAGAGGGTAAAGCTTTATTCAGAAGTCATAGCTAATGAAATCCAGGGACGCAAGATAGCTTGACATAAAGGCATTCACGGTTATAAAGAAATTCATCCAAACCCACAAAGTAAAAAGTAACTTATATACACATTCATATGCTTTTTTTAATAACTGTACCATTCACATGAATACATTCCAGATTTTTCAAGTTTCTGAAGTTCGATCAAAATCCAGCCAAGCTCAAGACTTAGCTGCATGAAAACAGAAAGAAACATATTTCCCTTTTCAGGCAAAGTCCCCTTAATGCATCTGAGGTTGGTCTCACTGTGCAGACCAGGCTGTCCTGGAACCCATAATCTTCCTGCCTCAACCTCCTGAGTATTGAACTTACAGGCACACCCCGCTAAATCTGGCTAAGTGTCTAAGACAGTGTTTCTCAGCCTTCCTAATGCTGGGACCCTTTAATACAGTTCCTCATGCTGTGGTGACCCCCAGTCATAAAATTATTCTTATTGCCACTTCATAACTGTCATTTTGCTACTGTTATGGATTATAATGCAAATGTCTAATATGCGACCCACAGGTTGAGAACCCGTTGTCTAAGATGACTAAGAAACCTCTGGCCCACCTTATTAGGTAAACATGAAGGCTTGTGTTTCACAGGCGCCAGTGACAGCTTCAGGCTTTGCGGATGCCGTTTGTACATCAAGGTGATGGCGAAGCGCCCCGAAATAGTCACAGTGATATATTGATTTACCTGGAAGCAGCAGGAAGGGGATCGTTTGGGGGCATAGAATCTCCTTTTACAAGTCAAGAGCAAGTTGAAAGGAGGAACAGGCATTCACAGGCAGCTTCCACCTACATGTCAGAAACTTAAGAGTCAGGTTTGGGGGTTTTGTGTTGCTCACTTACTCACAGAAAGAGGGTGAATGGGCAGAAATTATTTTGCAAGGCATGCAGTCGTATCTTAAAAGAAGATGGGGTCCATTTTAGATTGAGAAAATCCTATGTCAACTGGGTCCTTCTGAGGTCTCATTCTGCCTCAAGACATAGCAGCCTCTCCCTGCTGCATGATACGCTTGGTAGATGCCCTTTAGCGCCAAGAAATGCCATTAACGACTGCCAAGTATTGGTACATTTTAGAAGCCTTAATGTTGCCGTTAAAGTGGGAGGGGGTTTTTAATAAAGGATAAGAATGGGAAAGTAGCGATTACACAATGACTGTAGGGTTAAGAATGAAGGTCAGTAGAGTGTGCTGGCCAGCACACACACACACACACACACACACACACACACACACACACACACACAATGGATACAGCATCCTAATGAAGTCTGTAAGAACTCTTGCTTGAGGTACAAGTTGCCCTCATCTGCTCTCTGAAGGCACCAGCTGAGGTAATCCAAAATAAATAATCTCTCTGACTGTTTTTGTAGGCAAAAGATGAGGAGATCCTGATGTCAGAATGTCAAGAAATTCGCACACAGGATCTTGCCTGGTAGTTTCCTGATGTTCTCTTTGCCTCCCTATCCCTCCAGACACAGACATCACTTCTTTAAGATGTACCACCTGAAGAGGGAATACGGGGGCCGTGCGATTTTGTAAGTCGTGTGGAAAGACAGAAACATCACTTCCCATGCAGATGCTCACAATGGTGCTGTTTATAGGAAATGCGAGGCAAGCCACAGGTGTGAACCAGGGGAGTGAATGTTTTTTTTAATTGCTAGTAGACATGTTAAAAAAGAGTAGAATTCAAGAGGGGTTACTTTGAGAACATAGTTTATAATAAACATCTCCATATGTGGTGGTCAGAGAATGGCCTTCAGGATTGGCTCTTTTCCACCTTCTACCAAGTAGGTCCTGAGTTGTCAACTCTGGTCATCAGCCTTGGCAACAGGCATCTCTAGCTGCTGAGGCATTTCACTGGTTGGCCCATAAAATTACTAGGATACCTTCCTTGTGTTCTCGATTTCTGTGAAGTCTTGGAAATCTGATGTGTGGACTTGCCAACTATTTTGAGGTTCAAGAATCAAAAGTGGCATTGTGGCTACCTGGACATCACAGTTCTCTACAAATGTACCCTGACAGTTACCTGTGCAGTCTTCTGCCTAAACAACCAGACACAGTGGCCCCATCTTACCGCGGCCTGTTTAGTTTACAAACACACACAAAGGGTAACTTTATGTGACCCTAGGAAGCTGGCACCACAGTCGCAGAAGCCCTTGGCGAGTGCTTACAAAGTTTAGATCATTTGTTAACTTTCAAATAGCAGAATGCGTGCATACAAAGTTTAATTTCTCAGCTTTTCTCCCTTTTTAGTTGTAAAATAGTAACTCAGTCTCATGTCCTTGTGTGGCAACAGTCTTCTGGCCTGGAGTCAAGCGTGGCCCCTTTTCAGTTTATAACAGAGCTCACACAACAATACCAGGCATGCTGGCACAGGCTCGGATTCCCAGCATTGGGAGGCAGAGACAGGGCCCCTGAGGATCACCAGCCAGCCAATTTATCCTAATTGTTAAGTTGCAGGCCAATGAGAGATCTCATCTCAAAGGAGGTGGATGGTGTTCCTCATGGACTCTATATTCACATACACCTACTCACACATGTGCCCTCTTACACCTACGAACATACACAAACACACGCACATTTGAAAAAGAATAACAAATTCTAAAATAATACCCCGATTTCAATTGGATCTTCAATCTTTCCCTTGGAAGGCCACATCCACTCTCGTATGATGTTTCCTTTCTTGCTGATCAGCATGCCTCCATCCTGATTAAACATCATGGCTATGACTTTCCTATGACAGACAGAGAGAGGGGGCTAATTTAGAACAAGCAAATAAATCTTCACAGATTTATTGATTTGGCTAAGGTGATGGAAACCACCAAGATGTAGCCTTAAAGAGCAAAAGAACCCTTTTGCTGGGGGACGGTCACTCTGCTTCTGCCCCAGTGCTTCTTGGGAGCCAAGAGTAGTCAGATGATTCAGATGACCCATTTAGGATGCACACCCTTTTCCATCCATCCCTCCCACAAGGGAACAAATATGAGCTCTGCTGGCCTCTATCATATCATGTGACCATGATTCTTTGACTATGGCTGATTGAATCAAATATGAGTTCTATTGGCCTCTATCATATCATGTGACCACGATTCTTTGATTATGGCTGATTGAATCAGACATGGGCATCTGACCCCAAAGAATCACAGAAGCATGACGCATTCAAGGGTGAGAAAAACAAAAACAGAAAACTAGTGTGACTAGCGTGGATTCTGGAGGGATGAGCAGCCTTGGGCCAGATGTGCTGGAATCCTAAGCTATCCTAACTCTGTCTTCAAGAACAATGAGACATCAAAGCTTTCTAACAACAAATCGCGTACGTGATGATGGGCGGGTGCGAGGCAGGTCTACACTGGCTGACTTGGAAGGTCAGACTTGTTCAATGATTCAGGAGAGATGATGATAGCTTGGACTAGGATATAGGTGAGAGAGAGAGAGAGAGACATGGGCATTGATTCAAGAGCTCTCTAGAGCAGTGCTTCTCAGCCTTCCTAGGGCTGCGACCCTTTAATGCAGCTCCTCATGCTGTGGTGACCGCCAACCATAAAATTATTTTCGTTGCTACTTCATAACTGTAATTTTGCTACTGTTGTGAATCGTAATGTAAATATCTGATATGCAGGATATCTGATGTGTGACCCCTGGGAAAAGGTCATTCGACCCCCAAAGGGGTCATGACCGTTGACCTAAGGGCTGCTGACAAGGCTCAGCAGACAAATGTGTTTGTTGTGTAAGCCTGACTAAGTGAGTTAGATTCCCAGAACCCACATAAAGGTGGAAGGAGAAAACCCACCTCCACAAAGTTGTCCTCTGACCTCCACATGTGTGCCACAGCACATGTGTGTCCCCCCTCATCCACACACAAAATAGTAAATAAAAATTTAACAAACAATAATAATAATACATATATACGAATACCAATATACTGCCAACACCCCCATCATACTTCCTCACTGAGAAGTAGTCAACAGTAAATGCTGAGAGCTACAGCAACCTCTAGAGCAAGCATTTGCAATATGAAGGTGTTGGGGAGTATTATTTTAAGGTGTGTCACTTTTGTTTATGTTGCATTTGTTTAACTCTGTGAAGCTGTGATACTGTGCCTGTCTAAAACACCTGATGGTCTAATAAAGAACTGAACGGCCAATAGCAAAGCAGGAGAAAGGATAGGTGGGGCTGGCAGGCAGAAAGAATATATAGGAGAAAACTGGGGGGAGAGAGAAGAAAAGAGATGGAGGAGTGAGAAAAGGAAGAAGCCAGAGAAGGAGGACTCCAGGAGCCAGCCACCCAGCTTCACAGCCAGCCATTACCACACAGGAGTAAGAGGAAGATTTACAGAAGTAAAAGAATAGGAAAAGCCCAGAGGCAAAATGTAGACGGGATAATTTAAGATAAGGAAAGCTGGTGAGAAACAAGCCAAGCTAAGGCTGGACATTTATAATTAAGAATAAGCCGCCTCCGTGTGTGATTTATTTGGGAGCTGGGTGGCGGGCCCCTCAAAAGAGCCCAGAGAGTAAAAAACAACACCATCATGAAGGAACAGTAAAGAATTCATAGGCGGGAGCTAGAGAGATAGTCTCAGGTATTCCATTCTGGGACAGAAAGTACATGAATGTGGTAATGTAAATAGACTTCAGCGTCTGAACTTTGGGAATAGTTGCAGGTGACAGATCTGATATCTAAAATAATAGAAGGTGGCCAGTCCAGGTTGGTTCAGGATAGCATACAAAGCTAGGAGAATATAAAAATATCCAGGCCAGAATCAGGCAGGAGAAAATAACCAAGCCTTACAAGTTTTCATCAATACCCTTGGGTGGCAAACTAATGCTCATCCATCTGTTATGTGTTTGCACATCTCAAGGTAATGGGAAATGATTGATCAAAATAGAACCAAAGGTGGAAAGACCCAAAGGAGAGAGACATTTCTTTCGTAGCTGATTGAGAAAAAAATAAAGGCAAAATCGTACACTGTCTCAAGAGAACACGCGTCTCTTTCTCCATGCTCGGAAGATAGATGTGACCACATGATTTGTCCTATTTGATCAGCAGCTTGAAAGCACTTGGTGGGGCTCTCCTTCATTCTTGCTGCTTGGCAACCCAGCCATCACATGAAGCAGCTTGAACTGGCCTACAAGATGCACAGCCAGGTTGCCTCCAAGCCCCGGCAGACAGCCAGATACCTAAGTCACCTAGCTCCCAAGGCCAGGCTCCTAATCCCATGTCATCATCACCATGACTCACGGAGACTCATCTAGTGTGGACTCAGCTCTCACCCTTCCTTCTCTCGACCTCTATTAAGGGTTGGGAAGGGCGGGGGAGAGCCCTGGATTAAAGGCTAAGAACTTTCGATGCTCTTCTGTAACTATGTGGACTTGGAAAAGTTATTCATCTTGCATAAGCCTTGGTTCTCTTTGATGAGAATTATGCTTAAATCATAGGGTCCCTGGGAAAATTAAATAAAATCTAGAATGCTCTTTCTACTTAACCCCCCCAACACACACACACACACACACACAGAGAGAGAGAGAGAGAGAGAGAGAGAGAGAGAGAGAGAGAGAGAGAGAGAGCGAGCAATACTTGGAAATTCTGGCCCGGTGGCACAAACTAGTAATTTTAACACTTAAGAAGTTGAAGCTGTGCCGGGCGGTGGTGGCGCACGCCTTTAATCCCAGCACTTGGGAGGCAGAGGCAGGCGGATCTCTGTGAGTTCGAGGCCAGCCTGGGCTACCAAGTGAGTTCCAGGAAAGGCGCAAAGCTACACAGAGAAACCCTGTCTCGAAAAACCAAAAAAAAAAAAAAAAAAGAAGTTGAAGCTGGGGGCTGGAGAGATGGCTCAGAGGTTAAGAGCAATGACTGCTCTTCCAGAGGACCTGAGTTCAATTCCCAGCACCTACATGGTGGCTCACAACTATCTGTAATGAGATCTGGCACCCTCTTCTGTATACATAGTAAGTAAATAATCTTCTTTTTTTTAAAAAGTTGAAGCTGGAGGTTCACAAAGTTTGAAGACAACCTGGCCCTATACAAGGAGTTTGAGATCAGCCCCTGTTACATAATGAGACCCTTCCTCAAAAAAACAAAAACAAAAACAAAAAAAAAAAAAACACCACTACCAACAACTCTCAAAAAAACCCAGTAAAATACATTTATTCTTGGAGAAGCAATTATTACTTCTCTGTTCTTTCTACAGTGTCCTGGAACGAGATGTTCAATTAAAATGCCAGAAAATTACATCATGCTTCCTAATCTTTCCTTCCCAACTTTTAAACTAGCGTTGTTGAGAGACGGAACGACCTTTTGAAAGAGCTTCCTCGGCCTTTGAAATGATTCCAGGTCCTGTGCTCTTCAGTTCTTCTCAACATCAAAGCTGGGACGGGCCCTTCCACACCGAGGGCGAGTGTTTAGTGTGACGCATGCAGCCACTTTGTGAGCCTGTTAATCCGTCTCCTTCTAGGCATTTGTGTCTTCAGAATCAAGCGTTAGTCTTCTATGTCTTTAGGGTTTTTACTGGCCTGTCTTGTCTTCGCTGGCGAGCTGGCGCTGACTTGGCTCACGGAAACAACCTGGAAGGGAAGCTGTGTGAAGGGGCTTCACCAGAAGTGCAGTCAGCACGCAGGAAGTGCTGAATGCAGGCGAAGCAGGAATGCACATTTATAACCTTGCTGAGGAAGGAAAGAAGGCTCTTGCGCCCATGGCTTGATTCTCAATTCGCATCATGCTTCCTAATCGGTCCTTCCCAACTCTTTTTTTTAAAGATTTATTTATCATATACACCTGCACACCAGAAGAGGGCACCAGATCTCATCATAGATGGTTGTGAGTCACCACATGGTTGCTGGGAATTGAACTCAGGACCTTTGGAAGAGCAGCCGGTGCTCTTAACCTCTGAGCCATCTCTCCAGCCTTCCAAACTTTTTTTTTTAAGAGATGAAACTACCATCATCTGGAAGCTAGGAGAATTAAAAAATATATAGGGGATGGAAAGATGTGTGATTGGAGCTAATATGAAATGTGAACTCCAGCAAAGGTGGATTTCAAAGCAATCCCCAGGGTACCTTGCTTCACCAGGAGGTGGCCTTATGAGTCGATCGTGATGTTGGCTTCTTCCTAAAACTCTAAGAGCCAGGAAATATTCTCCTAAATCCGCATCTAAACTTGTTGTGTTGCTCTGTCTGTCTGTCTGTCTATTTATGTATCTATGCAGCACTTTGTTACTAGTTTTCCATCTAAGGTGGAAACATCTAACTGTGTCATTAACTGAACTCGAGTGTATGGAAAATCAGCAGGTACAAGTTTGTGGACAAATAACACTCCGCAGAGACACAGCAGTTCTAGTGAGTCGGATACTAGCTTCCTCCAACTCAAGCCCCCCGAGCCTCAGGATGTGACCTTATTTGAAAAATGGGTCCCTTGCGAATGTAATCAGTTAAGAACCTCATGAGGAGATCATCCTGGGTTTACTGTGGGTGCTGAAGCTGATCCTAATGTCCGTGGATGAAGAGGAGCCGGGCACAGAGAAAGAGAGAAACAGGAACAGAGAAGCGGGGAACAGCAGAAGGAAGAAAAGGCCCAGCTGAGAAATCTGTGGGCGCCCAACAGACAGAAAGGAAACAGGTGTGGGACAGAATCTCTCCCGGAGCCCAATGTTTTCATCTGTCTTCCAGCCCCTGGGTCTGGGAGAGAACACATTGCTCCTGTCTTAGACACCAGCTTATGGTGACTTTCAAGATAGCCTAG